AGCTCAGAGAACCCCAAGGACTCCACAGTTCAACCCTGAGCTACACATATTCTCTTCTATTCATAACAAGAATTCCAATCTTCTTCTGGAATTTAGTCTTTGTATCCTGACATGTTTCCACAGAACAGAAGTGTATTCCTCTGGTATTTCTGTAATAAACCAGGACAATGAAGTAGAAGAACCAGGCTAAAAAACTCAATGTATTTAATGTAATTAGGATTAGTTAAAGACATGATTACTTGTCATGTATTCAGTAATTTTCCACTTCTGTCACATTACAATTTATAATTCAGCAGGAGCTTTTGAAGGGCCTCTGAGGGCCACATCTAAGACTGGGGAAGGGAGGCACATGCGGCCACAGATTATGCACTTCTACCCAAGTAAGTTTCTCTTTTTGGGAAATGCAACATTCAGTATTGCCCAGATTAAACTAGAACTACCATCCAAATACATTAACAAAACACTAATAAATTTTGATGAGTTTTAAGATATATCTTTACTGCTTTTTTGAATAATATAATTAGGTTTATACTGTTCATCTGTCCACTTGCAAAACATTTAAGTACTGAATTTTATTAAGACTGTTTCAGAGGAAGTGGTTTGGATTTTGTGTTAAGAGTAGCACTTCTGTCCTGTTCATTAAAACAGCCCAACTTTTTCAGGCTTCCACACATGTCTGAAAAAAGGGCTGTGGCTTTAATAAATTTAAGGAGGAATTCCACTGAAAGGGCAGAATATAACTTTAAAAAAAGCTGTATGTCCTAGTATATTCTTAGATAGGCCTGTCATTTCTCTTACCAAAGATCTTTTCAATTTCCTTATCTTATTCACTGAAGCAAACCCTGCATCACAGAGATATTTCAAAGCAGGCCAACATCCTAAGATATGTCCAAGAGTAGACACTGCACCCATTATTCATAAAAGATTTAGATGAAAAGTGTCAATTTGTAATGATGGACAAACAGCGAAGATAACAATGGTAATGAATATGACAAAGGGAGTCAGGTCAAACAATATACACATTGATTCCGCAGAGGGCGGAGCTGGCGTCGCGGCGATACGGCAGGCGATCCTGGGCTCCCAGGATCACAGCCGATATCTCCTCCCCCGGACGGTCCCGATGGACCTAAGCCGTCCCGTAGAGATGGCGATCGTAAAGGGCGCG